CTGATTTATCTTTATTTCGCAAAAGATTTGACTTTGCAAAACGATCAACGTCTTGTTCACCCCCTTTGCTCTGCCATTACTAATGAATGTTTTCTGTGCACACTATAACTTATAAACATGAAATTAACACACATGACACGTTATTTCACTTTTATGAGTAAATAGCGTATGGATTGGATGTCGGTTCGTGAATATTTTTAGGCTGCTAACTTTTAATCAAATTTAGCTAGTATAGTAAGGGTTGCTGCACGATCAATCACAGTTGAGAAAAGAGTGGCATTGTTACGGAAAACTGGGATAATTATTACTCGGTAAACTAATTCTTGATTTAAATATTGTTGTTGTTAAAGAAAAAGAGTGTAACAGTGTTACAAAGAACTGGGATAACTGAATTTAATACACAATTTATTTAATAATTCTTCATTAAAACATAGAAACATACAATATATAAAACATTCAATTTGCGCTATATAACACTATAGTAGCCAAAGAGTTGGCGGTAAGTGCTGATTAATTGTATTTTCGTGACATTAATCGTAATTTCAATTAGTCGATTATTAACGAGTGCCATTAACACTCGAAAGTAATCGATTGATTTGTCCAGCTCTACCTGGATCTTACTTTACTGTTCAGCTTCTCTGTTATTAGAAATTTACTACTTAAGCTAAAAAAGAATTCTACAATTACGGGCAAGGAAAAGTTCGGCGTAAAGTTAACTTCCGTAGAAGTGATATGCCTAACGTTTAATATATTAGAGTAAGACTAACAGTAGAAAAGGAGATAGAAAAATAATTCATTCCGTCAAAGCGTGGTTCTAAAGTAATTGAATCAGTCCGAGTGCACTTTGACAAAAGGAACAGAGGATATTTAGAAGAAAGAAGACCAAACGATTACGGTAATTTGCGCCACAATTATGTTTGTTTGTTATGGATTTCGCGAAAAGCTACACGAGAACTATTTGCGCTAGCCGTCCCTAATTTAGCAGTGTAAGACTAGAGGGAAGGCAGCTAGTCATCACCACCCAATGCCAACCCTTACCAACGAATAATGGGATTGACCGAAACATTATAACGCCGCCACAGCTGAAAGGGCGAGCATGTTTGGTGTGATGGGGATTTGAACCATCGACCCGCTGATTACGAGTCGAGCACTCTAATCACCTGGCCATGCTAGGCCAATTGTAAGTGAATCACACACAGAATACTAGTGCGATAGTAATAGATAGTTCGGCTTGCCAACTGAAATTCTGAAGTAACTGAATAGACCTAAATGGTCTTTTGTACAACAAGAAGAGAACTATATATATATATGTGTGTGTGTGTGTGTGTGTGTGTTTATAGCAATAACATAGCATATATTTATACTACTAAGAAATATAAGTAAAAGCCTTTTATTTTGACAATTAGCGAAAAGTAGTTTTATTTTAAATTCTGACAGTGGTTATTTCACAAACCTTCTTTCATGTTTCTTAATGTTATAGAATCATCAGATTTAAACATGCAAAGTTCAATTTTTTCCACAGCTTATGTAAATTGATCCTAATCCTATAAAAGTGCAGTTTCATATTTACAAATTGGATGTTCTGATCTAAGTTATTTTTAAATTGAGCACGTTAATTCAATCTTCTTCTAGTGAGGAAGGTGACGACATATATAGCTTTTATCCTTTCTTCTATCTCACAATGTTCATTTTATTTAGTTCACTGTGTATTAAATTCTAACTTGTTACTTTCTGGTTATCAATATATTTTAATTTCATCAGTTTATTTAGTATTTCAAGTATTTTTTTAAAAAAGGTATTGATATTAGAATTAACTGATAACCCACACTGGTAATTTTAACCTATATTATAGTTGACATTGTTTGAAACCTGTTGAAGATAATCTTTTGAAATACAAGAAATACTGATGGATTGCAGTTTACAGAATTAGAGAGCTTTCCTTTATAACTTCTAATCTATTTCAGTCCATATTTTTATCCTGGTCTTGCATAATTGGATCTTCTTGTTCCTCTTTTTGGGTAAAACAACTATAAAAGACACACCAATTTCCAGCAATACATGCAGGTGTTTCTCCTTTTTATCTTCACTTTGCTAACAAAACCTTTTTTTCTGAAGAGTAATTCCAAATACCTGGAAAAGGCAGATACTAATAGATACAAAATTATTCCTGCTATGATGTAGTAGGTTTTTTAGTATTAATAAAGCTAATACTTTCAGCAAAATGTGTAACTTATTTTTCATTATTTAATTTATTCACACAAGACATCATTATAAACTGGGCATGATTCCTTCTGTGGTCCATTGCAATTATGACATGTTGATTTTCCAATGGATTAGAAAAGGTGGATGCTCTCTCTTAAATCCTGTGGCTACTGAAGTGGTTATTAAGGATGTTGATGGACATGACCAAGGGTTAAAAGCAGTTCCACAATACATAACAATGATTACTAAGTAGTCCACAAAGATAATGTTTCTCCAAATGGCACAACTACTGGAGCTGAAGTAGTTTTGCTAGAAATTAATAAGTACTGGCTGATGTACATTGAAATGGTCTGATAACCAAACTTGCATACGTTCCACTAAGTCAGTGGTTTCCAAACTGTGGGGCATGCCCCCTGGGGGAGGAACCCAAAAATAACAATGAAAGAAGCAGAAAAATAAAATTTTAACACGTTAAATTTTACTGCTAATAGTTAAGAAAAAAAAACTGATTAAACAGTGAAAAGAAACTACTGTATTTGTTGTTATTATCTTGTGTGAAAATTATTCAGTATAAAGGAGGGAAGCTTAAAGAAAAATAATGCTGAGTTGGGGGGGCACCACCACATACAGTTTGGAAACCAAGTGATCCACTCTTCTATCTAACACCATTTTTTTTTCTCTTTAGACATGAAGATGCAGAGTTTAGGGAATTGAATATATTGTGTTCCTCTTGTAAAAAAATAATAGAAGTGTTCATTTTGGCATATAGTAACTGGTCATACAAAAAGTACTTATTAATATTAGATTCTGATTGGTCTAAAACAAAGATAAAAACATTGAGTCTGAACTCTCATGCTTGAGGGATATGCTTGTTTAGAACTGTTATGGCAATTCTTCTGCTTCTGGACCACAAAGTTTCTCAAAAACACACTTGACAATCCTTATGTAAAGAGTGATGATTAGTTTCAGTTTTGAATGACCCTTGTCCTTACAGCTTTGCAGAGTCAATCGAAGTGCTATTAAAGTATAGGCCCAAAGATTGCACATCATGGAAGTCCAATAACACTGTCAATGATGGAGTTTCTTTTCATCCTTGGCAGTGCTCATTATTAGGTCTTGTGTAGCAGGTATCTCAGCAAGTTAACCTTACCTGTGGAGTTGCACTGCATTTTCTTCATTATTGTAATGGAATTTCCTTGTAAACCTCCTCTCTTCTCCAAACGTTTCTTTTCAACAGGAATTCCATTATGATTACTACACTAAGTGCAAGTAAGCTTTGTGGAGGCTTCCTTGATCATTTCTATAGACAGAAATCATAAACACTGTGGAGAAAACTGCTTTATGGAACTCAGATCATCAAAAATGTTTCCCTGACTTCCAAACTGGATGTTAAAAGCTTCCAAGTCCAATAAATAATGAAAATTTCATTTCTTTCTAGTTATTAATAACACAATCAGAGCTCCACATATGACTTGAACTAAGCCTTAATAACAGATGCAATATCTGAAGAGTAATTCATTCATTTGTAGCTTGTATCTAGCTCACAACAAATGTCTAATCTTTTTAGAACTTGAAGTTTACTTAAAAAAAAAAAAAAGTTTAAATTGTTTAATGTACAATATTCATTTTAGAAAACTGACTGAACCAAGTTTAAGAAAAAATATTTACTATAAATTATCTTAGCTTAGTTTTATAATTAAAAAAGATGTATGATAAATAAATGT